GTTCTTATCCGCATTTTCGATGGCAATGGGAATACATTGTCATCTCCGCATGCCTGAAACATAGCATAAACTGAAAACGTCAATCTAAGAAGGGAACAATATATAGTGTTACTGCTACGAAGCTCTCCTTCACTTCAAAGTACGTCGTCCTAAGAAGTAAAAGCAAATCTATAAGCAAGGCAAGTACATCAAAGGAGAATAGGCGCATGACAAAGAAAGGAAACAACAAAAAACTGCAAAAAATTGATTGTGGTCCTAAATGTGCGTGGTATGTTTCAGCTTTTGCGCTCGGAGTGCAATCTCCAGCGCTCGCGGTGTCCGCGCGCTGCCTCATCCCCTGAATACCCACGATCAATGGTGATATAATACACACGGCATAGATCATGTACGCACGCAGGCGCCACTTTGTCTAGTATCATTTTTACAATTCCGTAGAATGCGTGCCTGTGGTCGATTAGATTGCATACCGGCGCTCGAAGTTGATGCGTAGAGGTTCGAACGCACGAGATACGAAAGTTTTGCGGCGCTCTGCCTGTGGTCAGTCCGTGAGTGCCATCGGATTTGGCATTTCGCGCGATGTATGCCAGTTTCGGCATCTATGCCCCACAGGTATGGTAAATTACTACCGGCCTAGATATGTTTTTGAAAGATCGCAAACAGAAACAACCTTTTCATGTTTTTGGCAAGCGTGAATTAGGGCTTCGCTTTTGATTTCGTCGAAAGCAAGCAAGGGCTCAATTTACAATATGCGTATCAATTTTAGATGCCATGCTGAAAATGTTTGAAAGGGTAGTTTCTGAGTGGGCGGAATGCATCTGAAGGGAGGGGCAGCAAATGCATATTCGCAGATTGGACCTCATTTTTCTACCGAGCATGAGCGATAAGGGTGCAAAGTCTCTGAAATGAAGCAAGTAGGGTGTTTGTAGCAACTTGGCACACTGCCATTTTCAGCTCAGCTCAAACAGTCAAGAGAGATACTGCTGGAAAAGAGTCAGATGTATTCACACGCGTGTATCTAGGCACAGAAATTGCCGAGATGGATCCAGGCGTGAGTGGACAATACTAGTGTTTTTGTGTATATAACAGACATTTTATCATAGGTACACGAATGTGTAGAGCGGGTTCTTGGGCAAATCATGGACAGAACAAAATGTGCTGATTATGAGCTTGAGCATTTGTCTATTAGTGGGATTGACGACTGTTATCAAAATGCGAACTTTGATCCAAAAGCTCTGGAAGCTGTCACTTTGAAGAAAGCACGAAAGAAAGGTAAGACGATTTGGCATTATGAGGCGTTGCATCTCTTGTCCAGAGTATTTTTTTTCCTCATAGGCCCAACAATTGAAGAGGAGATAGCAGCTGAAGTGGAAAAGTGGTCCTTCGGCAATGCCTTGATTTTTGCCTTTACGGTCATAACTACCATAG